TCTAAATGCAAACATTCCAAATACATATTTCTCGCTATAATGCAAATAAAATTTCGTCAAATAATTTTATTGCAATATGATAGGCAAATTTTCTAGGTTATTACGCTATAAATACGTTTCAACAGTATCCATTTTAGAGAGAGTTCAAATGCAAAAAACTTTTCAGGGTAATATGAAAATTAAAATTTAGATTTACAGATTTTTTCTTAGCAGCACTCAAATAATTAATGAATTAGCAAAATATAATATTTTATCTTTGAAAATAATATTTAAAACAACCTACGTACTTTGTTTTAATAAGATTTAACTTGTCCTCTGCTTCAGTATTAGACAAGTTCATTTTCTGCTTATATAAGTGAATTAGAAGTGCCATTTTGTAACGAGGATCAATCATTGATGCAATACAATACGTGATTTTCACATCTGACCAATACCTATCAAACTTGGATTGCATCGGTACAACCATTTGACATATAAAAGGATCCGTATTAGTAGCATTTCGTTCAAGATGCATCTTGATTTTCACCAAATGAGGAAGAAAAATATTTGATGTCGAATAATTACTTCCTGATATAATATTTGTGACTATATTAAAGGAAAAACTTAATTATTAGTAAAATATACAGTACGGGCTGATTAAAATATCTAGAGCCTGAACCAAAATCAGAGCCAGTGGCCATTAGAAGCAAAACTAGCTAGCAAAATTGGCTAGTACGTAAAATTTGCAATGTACATAGTCGTATATTCAATAAATTTCTTAATTGATTAATTTAATAAGTTCATTTACATGCATATAATTACTCAGTTAAAGAACAAAGATCACCTGATTAGTACAAAAGTAGCAAATTTCATATCTTAGCACAAGTGTTGCTAGTGCTACTAAAATTCATTAGCTCTAAACAAAATGTCTACCAGATACTGTATATTATATGCAGGGGTGCCGAATAATTGACAATTTAACAATTGCAATTGTGTTGCTTTTGCTGTTTGTATTATATCAAAAATATATTCTATTTTACGTATTATACGTAATTGATTAATTGTGGCTGTGCTACTAATTAATTAATTAATTGATGCAATTAATTATTCAGAAAAATTTCAAGTATATCAATGCCTGCTTTACTCAAGTATTTTTATGAGGGATATAATAAAAAGGGGGCCTTTTAACCAGTGTGATACAGTACTAGAAATTTATAATTACCTTCATAAAATGGCTTTAAAAAGTCACAAATACTCTTGGCTTTTTCCCAGTCTTCGTCGGAAGGCATAATTTGGTCAAAATTAAAATCACATAGTGATAAATGTTCAAACACACTTTTATATAGAACTGTTGAAGATAACATGAGATAAACAGAATTCCAGTGGGTAGGCACATCGAGGGTTGGTCACTTGCTAGATATAAGTTCAGAACAACATCCAACCACAGCATTCTCAAAGGTATGTTGCTGGTGTTGTGAGCTGCGAATCCACTTTGCACATTCTCGGATTTTACTTGTAATATTCTTAACTAATTTAAGGCCATTCCTGACTATGAAATTCAAAATATGGGCACAGCAACGTTAGTAAAGAAAAATTCCATCAGCAATGAGCATATCTTTTTCATAAAGTATAGATTTTATATTATTAATTGCGACATAATTACTAGTGGCATTGTCTACAGTAATTGCTAAAGTTTTTGTTATAACATCCCAATCACTAATACAATTAAAAAATATTTCACTAATAGCAACTCCCGTATGGGATGCAGGAATTAGTTTAAACGCTATGACTAATTTTTGAATCTCCCAATTGCTATCAACAAAATGGCACGTAATGACCATATATCCGAGAGTTTGGTTTGATGTCCATAAATCAGTCATATAACTTAAATTCCCTGGTGCCTCTTGAATTAATAAACGGGCTTTTGATTTAAGATCTTCAACAATTTTATAAGAATCTTTACGCACTGTTTTCCTACCTACTATTCTAAATAGTGGCTGTAAATTGTTAACAAAGGTTAGAAACTCCTCATGTTCAACCATACGAAATAGATACGCATGCATAATAATCATATTAATCAAATCTCGATGACTTCTTTCTTGGGAAAATTTATAGGTTACAAGGCCTGAAGAAGAAAACTGTAATGTTTTTTGCGATTTGTCAGTTTTAAGATATTTGCTGCATTTTGTATTTTTCATATGATGAATTAATGCACTGGTTCCCATCTCGTTATCATGCTTTAAAAAATTTTTACAGTGTGTGCATTGAGCATAATTTATTAACAAATTATGTTTTATAAATATTAATTACTTCATAGATTAATAATTATTACATTACAAAACGTGAGCTTTTACTTTTTTCAGGATCATCAACTTTAGTAAAATGGCCTTCTTTAAAAACCCATAATTATATGTTGATTGTTTTACACTTTTTACTTTTAGAAGTAGTTTTAGAACTTTCATCGACCGTGACTTCAACATTTTCATCAATTATTTCAGCACTTTCATTTGTGACAGAACTTTCATTCATGGTAGTTATTTCTATGCTTTCTTCTTCGCTTTCGTTAACAGAATAATAAATACCCTCTAATTGGTATAACGGTCTCATAAATTTAATTTAGAATATAAAAGACTATGTATGAACTCTTTAGTGTATTAATTGTTATACCATAATCCATTTTCTATTTTCAAGTCTATTTAACAAAACCTCAGATGATTCAATCTAAAAAAAAAAAGAAAAAAATCAGCAACATGAATTATTTCTTTTTATTCGAGTTTTTTTAATGTACGTACTTACAAGCGTTCTATTTTACACCAGGCCTTCTGTAACTTTAACAGCTTGCTATTTTATAATGGAAGCAAATCCTAAGTTGTTATGCTTACTAAAGCAAGCACCATCATTATCATCGCTGTTTTCGAATTAGTGAATCATAGAATTTTATGAATGAATTCTGCATTTACTAATGGAAATAATTATCTTCACAATAGTAAAATGCAAACTTGATTGTATACATAGAATTCTATGATCGCACCAATTCAAATATAGCTATATTAGATACCGATATCTAGGGATGTAAACCAAACGCAGTAGTTTGGATTCCCAAAGTTTTTACTAGATTCAAACAATTGTATCGTGTTATAAACCAAACTTATGCAACACTGATTAGAACGTGAGTCATAAGATAAAAGTCTGGTAATACAGGGGAATTACTACACTCGCACCAATTCAAATATAGCTATATTAAATACCAATACCTAAGGACATAAACCAAACCCGGTAGTTTGGATTCCCAAAAGTTTTTACTAGATTCAAACAATTGTATCGCGTTATAACCCAAACTTATGCAACACTGATTAGAACGTGAGTCATAAAATAAAAGTCTGGTAATACAGGGGAATTACTACACTCGCACCAATTCAAATATAGCTATATTAAATACCGATACCTAAGGACATAAACCAAACCCGGTAGTTTGGATTCCCAAAAGTTTTTACTAGATTCAAACAATTGTATCGCATTATAACCCAAATTTATGCAACACTGATTAGAACGTGAGTCATAAGATAAAAGTCTGGTAATACAGGGGAATTACCACACTCGCACCAATTCAAATATAGCTATATTAAATACCGATACCTAAGGACATAAACCAAACCCGGTAGTTTGGATTCCCAAAAGTTTTTACTAGATTCAAACAATTATATCGCAACACTGATTAGAGCACAAGTCATAAGATAAAAATTATGCATTGTCTGGTAATACAGGGGAATTACCACACTCGCACCAATTCAAATATAGCATTAAATACTGATACCTAAGGACGTAAACCAAACCTGGTAGTTTGGATTCCCAAAAGATTTACTAGATTCAAACAATTATAAGATAAAAATCATGGTAATACAGGGAAATTACCACACTCGTACCAATTCAAATATAGCTATATTAAATACCAATACCTAAGGACGTAAACCAAACCCAGTAGTTTGGATTTCTAAAAGATTTACTAGATTCAAACAATTGTATCGCAACACTGATTAAAGCGAGTCATAAAATAAAAATCGTAGAGAATTATTTCCACAGTTGTGAAAATAATTCCCACACTATCATTTGTGTCTTGTTTGTTTCATGGAGTTGATTGGTTCTTGAGATTTAAGATATGGAAATGGGCACAGGTTTTGGTTTCAAGTTGGTAATAAATATCAATTCCCGAACCCAAATTAGAAAAACCCCAAAGTGTCCCATTTGAGTTTGGTTACCCATACCAGTATCCAATGTTTTATGTATAACGAAATAAAGGTACAACAGATTTTAGTGTTTAATTATTAAAAGTGATCGATAATAAAATTTCTTAAGTTAGAGTGTATTAAAATCCCATTTGCACATGATTATATTATGGTAATTCCATCTAACCTGGGCTGTTCTTACCCTGACTGTCTCTCCAGTGAAGAACTGAGTTAAATTACTTGTATCAGTTGGTAGCAGGACTGAAAGAATAATCTAAAACATAAGATTTTGGTTACTACCAATAATAAATTTTTTTAACGGATACATACCATTTATTGCTATATACCTAAATTTTAGCTGTGAACTATTAGTCTTATAATTTTTCAGATCAGCAAGTTTGGAATCTTGACTACTAATAATTACAAATGGGTTTCCACCAGCATTCCGATTGAGGCTATTATTAACAAGATCATTTGGCCCAAATGCTATAAATATTAAATTAAATAAGCTTTACTAAACCTAATTGTCATGGTCGACTTTGGTGCCCCAGGTATTCGTAGCGCAAGGATTAGGGATCATGTGATTCGAGTTTGCATGAAATTAATATTAGTGATTGCATGAACAATGTAGTAATCATTAGCGATTAGTAATAATAGTGATTGCATGAAGAATGTAGTAATTGATAGTGATCAGTAATTAATAAATAAGGCATCGATCCAAAAGGGAAAATGCCAGACAGAACTTTGAGAGTTCTATAACCTGAAATTACTTTGTAGATTATTCTAAGTAAACTGATATATATAATTGGTGGAAGGATCTGTACGATACACGGTCAACGAATTAATTAGCCAAGCGAGTAAAGTAGTGAAAGCCAAGAAGTGCACAGTAGTCCAGAAAAACCGTGACACTAATCGTAATTAAATAGATTAAAAGCTTTAATTTCGCATACCAATATAGTTTAAGTAATCAATTGATGGACTGATATCAAAATCTATTCTCGGTTTTAAATTATTAAACTTATAAGCCGGATAACACCCAATAATTGTTTTTAGTTTAGTTGATGAATCCTGGCTTAATACCTTTTCTATCAATATTAACATGAAAAAGGTACATAATAAAAACGTTGTGAATTTATGAAGTGAACAAATTTTCATGTTTTTTTTATAGTGGCATAAAAATTTTATGTATAGAGTTAACATAAAAAATAAAACATGCACATACGTATGGGATAAGATACAAGCATCTAAATCAATTGAACAGTTAAAAGTTTATTAAAAGTTAAAGGATGGGCCGTATCTATTACATTCATATCAAGGTATCGGTTATTTATTTTAAAAGCTTCGAACATTAAAAATAAAGTGGCTATCTTTTTAGACTGGTTAGAAATTTGTTGAGGATCAATTGTATATTATGTTTAATATGTAAAAAATGTAAAAGTAATGCTTGAGCGACCTTTATTAATGGTAAATTTTTATTCAATTTCTGACTGATTAAAATTTTACTTCCGATCCATTGAGGTGCTTGATAACACCCTGGTCGAAAGATGAGAATGTATTAGTTTAAATTTCATATAAAGAACTTATATTTTATTTATGCATGTACAGTGCAGAAGATTTAAAATAAAGAATAACACAAGTTTTAATAAAGGTTTTAATATAGAATAATAGGTTGGGCCTGAGCGGGCCGGGCCTAATTTTAAAACCAAGCCCGGCCCGGCCCACTACTGCGGGGTTTTTTTTTTTGGGCCTGGCTTGGGCCCAAAAATTTTTTCTGGGCTTGGCCTTGGGCCCTGCTAGGCCTGGCCCGGCCCGGCCCATTTCCCATCCTAACCAATAAACCACGACATTAACCACTCAGTTTATCTCTTAGAATGTCTTTACTAAGCAAAAACTTAATTAATTCTTTATTATTAGAGATTGCTTTTTTTAAATACAAGATTATCTTCGGATATATGTTCATCTGGGTTACACGCATTAGACTATTACCTAATTAGACTTTTAATTAAATTATGCAAATTCTGATCACGCCATTTATGCCAGTTCCGATCCTAACTGGACCCTGCGCAATGAATTCCTGAGGTACCGAAAGACACCATGACACTCACCTTTGAAGATTAAAAAAACAAAAAAAAACTAATTTTAATAAATTTACTATCATTAGAAACAGGAAAATCTACTTTACAAATTTTACATAATAGTTGAAAATAGTTTACTTAATAAATTTTTTATAAAATTAAATATAAAAAAATTTGCCATTAAGTTTATATATAATTTTAAAATAGTACCCTCTACCCTTAAGAGTAATTTTAATAAATATCAAATATGTTAAGTTCATTTATAAAGAAAAAAATAAATAAATATATGCACATAGCTAATTTGTTTATATATTTTATTAATACTAACTATATTTTAATTATTTATTAATTGTGCAGCAAATTTAAGCCTATGCTTATTTAATTATCAATTTACTTTAATTTTAATAACCTTTTATATTAAACTAATACTAAATCTTTTATTGTTGCTATAATTAAAATTATTCACAGCTTATTATTATTATTATTGCAGCTTATATAAGCACTTTTAACAACTTGCATAATTTAGAAAGCATGTACTAATAAAGTCTCTGTATAAAAATTATATAAAAATTATAAATTAATATAACAATTTTAATTAATAATTCTTTAGTGAACTGAAAAATACTTAAAATATTATGTAATGTGATTTTATATATAAATTCTATAAACAGAAATGTGACAATTTTTTAAAGAAATGTAATAATTATCTAAGAAAAAGTTTTTTCTTACTAAGTTAATTATTTTTGAACTTCTAACAAAAGTTGCAGAGATATTAAGATGATTTAATAATGGTAAAAATATTAAAATTAGTTTGGTAGTTCTTGAGAAATCTTTAATAAATATTTTGCTATCATATAAAATTTCTTAAAAGCTACCAGGCTAATTTTAACATTCTTATCATTATTAGATGCATCTTAATAAACTTTACAACTTTATTAGTCATCAATTAATACAATTATGAGCATCCATACAGTTTTTTGTTACAATTTCTGTAAATAGTTTTAATAATAATATAAAATTTAAATTATTAACAAAATATATACAAAAATTAGATAGAATTAATTTACTTACCACATATATAATGTTATCACACCCTAAATCAAATGTAATGTGAAATCAAAACAATCAAATAAACTGTTCTTTTTGTTAGTTAAAGCTAAAGTGAGGTAAAGATAGTGTGAAGATAAAAAGAAGAGGCTTATAGTAAAATTTTACAAGAATTTTTTTGTTAGAGCTCAAAGAGCAGTCTCATATGCCATATTTTGAGCTATAAATGATTTTTGACAAAATGAATATTTTTCTGATCATG